ATAATCAAGGGGGAAGCACTAAACCCGTAGGATTATACAGCGCCTATGGGGGGATGGAAGGCATTCAGGCTTAATTCAGGGAACTGGAGCACAGATCCAACTGGAGCACAGATCCAATTCCCTAGATCAAGAGCCCCTCACCAGCGTCAAGGAGCCTTCCTTGAGGGGTATCGCACGTGCAAAGAAAATGATAGGATGGATAATGAGAACGTTCCAAACGAGAGATGCCAAGCCAATGATGATCCTTTTCAAATCACTTGTTCTCTCTAGGCTGGAATACTGCTGTACATTAACATCTCCATTCAAAGCAGGTGAAATCGCAGATCTAGAGAGTGTACAGAGATCCTTTACTGCACGTATAAGTTCTGTCAAGCACCTTAACTACTGGGAACGCTTGGAAACACTTGACTTGTACTCGTTGGAACGCAGGAGGGAGAGATATATCATAATCTACACTTGGAAAATCCTGGAAGGAATGGTCCCAAATCTGCACACAGAAATCACTTCCTACGAAAGTAAAAGACTGTGCAGGCGATGCAAAATGCCCCCAATTAAAAGTAGGGGCGCCATTGGTGCACTAATGGAAAACACCATAAGTGTCTGGGGCCCAAGACTGTTCAACAGTCTCCCATCAAGCATTAGGGGAATTGCCAATGAACCCCTGGCTGCCTTCAAGAGAGAGCTGGACAGATACCTGAAGTCAGTGCCGGATCAGCCGGGCTGTGGCTCGTACGTTGGACTGCGTGCGGCCAGCAGTAACAGCCTAGTTGATCAGGCCCTGATCCATCGGGAGGCCTGGTCATGGACCGGGCCGCGGGGGCGTTGATCCCCGGAATAACCTCCAGGCTTACTGTCTACAGCTATGGTAAGAGCCTCACTAGACATCATGGTAGTAAGAACCTCACCTAACACCATGGTAAGAACCTCACCTAACACCATGGTAAGAACCTCACCGGACACAATGGTAAGAACCTCACCTAACACCATGGTAAGAACCTCACCTAACACCATGGTAAGAACCTCACCGGACACCATGGTAAAAACCTCACCTAACACCATGGTAAGAACCTCACCTAACACAATGGTAAGAACCTCACCAGACACCATGGTAAGAACCTCACCAGACACCATGGTAAGAACCTCACCAGACACCATAGTAAGAACCTCACCAGACACCATGGTAAGAACCTCACCAGACACCATGGTAAGAATCTCACCAGGCACCATGGTAAGAACCTCACCAGACACCATGGTAAGAACCTCACCAGACACCATGGTAAGAACCTCACCAGGCACCATGGTAAGAACCTCAACAGCCACCATGGCAAGACCCTCACCTAACACCATGGTAAGAACCTCACCTAACACCATGGTAAGAACCTCACCAGACAACATGGTAAGAACCTCACCAGACACCATGGTAAGAACCTCACCTAACACCATGGTAAGAACCTCACCTAACACCATAGTAAGAACCTCACCAGACACCATGGTAAGAACCTCACCAGACACCATGGTAAGAACCTCACCAGACACCATGGTAAGAACCTCACCAGACACCATGGTAAGAACCTCACCAGGCACCATTCTAAGAACCTCACCAGGCATCATGGTAAGAACCTCACCAGACACCATGGTAAGAACCTCACCAGACAACATGGTAAGAACCTCACCAGACACCATGGTAAGAACCTCACCTAACACCATGGTAAGAACCTCACCAGACAACATGGTAAGAACCTCACCTAACACCATGGTAAGAACCTCACCTAACACCATGGTAAGAACCTCACCAGACAACATGGTAAGAACCTCACCAGACACCATGGTAAGAACCTCACCAGACACCATGGTAAGAACCTCACCAGACACCATGGTAAGAACCTCACCAGACACCATGGTAAGAACCTCACCTAACACCATGGTAAGAACCTCACCTAACACCATAGTAAGAACCTCACCAGACACCATGGTAAGAACCTCACCAGACACCATGGTAAGAACCTCACCAGACACCATGGTAAGAACCTCACCAGACACCATGGTAAGAACCTCACCAGGCACCATTCTAAGAACCTCACCAGGCATCATGGTAAGAACCTCACCAGGCACCATGGTAAGAACCTCACCAGGCACCATTCTAAAAACCTCGCCAGGCACCATTCTAAGAACCTCACCAGGCACCATGGTAAGAACCTCACCAGGCACCATTCTAAGAACCTCACCAGGCACCATTCTAAGAACCTCACCAGGCATCATGGTAAGAACCTCGCCAGGCACCATTCTAAGAACCTCACCAGGCACCATGGCAAGAACCTCACCAGACACCATGGTAAGAACCTCACCAGACACCATGGTAAGAACCTCACCAGACACCAGGTAAGAACCTCACCGGACACCATGTAAGAACCTCCCCAGGCCCCAAATTCTAAGAACCTCACCAGGCATCATGGTAAGAACCTCACCAGGCACCATGGTAAGAACCTCACCAGGCACCATTCTAAGAACCTCGCCAGGCACCATTCTAAGAACCTCACCAGGCACCATGGTAAGAACCTCACCAGGCACCATTCTAAGAACCTCACCAGGCACCATTCTAAGAACCTCACCAGGCATCATGGTAAGAACCTCGCCAGACACCATGGTAAGAACCTCACCAGACACCATGGTAAGAACCTCACCAGACACCATGGTAAGAACCTCACCAGACACCATGGTAAGAACCTCACCAGGCACCATTCTAAGAACCTCACCAGGCATCATGGTAAGAACCTCACCAGGCTCCATGGTAAGAACCTCACCAGGCACCATTCTAAGAACCTCGCCAGGCACCATTCTAAGAACCTCACCAGGCACCATGGTAAGAACCTCACCAGGCACCATTCTAAGAACCTCACCAGGCACCATGGTAAGAACCTCACCAGACACCATTCTAAGAACCTCACCAGGCACCATGGTAAGAACCTCACCAGGCACCATTCTAAGAACCTCACCAGGCACCATTCTAAGAACCTCACCAGGCACCATTCTAAGAACCTCACCAGGCACCATGGTAAGAACCTCGCCAGGCACCATTCTAAGAACCTCACCAGGCACCATGGTAAGAACCTCACCAGGCACCATTCTAAGAACCTCACCAGGCACCATTCTAAGAACCTCACCAGGCATCATGGTAAGAACCTCGCCAGGCACCATGGTAAGAACCTCACCAGACACCATGGTAAGAACCTCACCAGACACCATGGTAAGAACCTCACCAGACACCATGGTAAGAACCTCACCAGACACCATGGTAAGAACCTCACCAGACACCATGGTAAGAACCTCACCAGACACCATGGTAAGAACCTCACCAGGCACCATTCTAAGAACCTCACCAGGCATCATGGTAAGAACCTCGCCAGGCACCATTCTAAGAACCTCACCAGGCACCATGGTAAGAACCTCACCAGACACTGCAGGTAAGAACCTGCTGCCAGGGGCATGTCAGTCGTAGCAATGAAATAACAGCAGAATTTATTACCATTATTATTAAACATTTATAATAAACAGATTTACTAAACATTGCAAACTAGAATTTAGTAACTCAAGAAAATAATGAGCTTAGTATTTTGTCCATAATTATTTGCATATCTTGAATGCTTACATATGTAAAGCATCTACTGTATGTAAGATGATATTCGATAGTGACTGTTAAAAGTAGCTATAATCAAATATTGCCATTCACTAAAATTGAAAATAAATTTTAAATACAAACGTATTTTGAGTAACAGCAGGATACAGTGTCATGATCTGCAGTACGTCAGCCTATCAATGATGGCTTAAGAGCTTTAATGACTTACATAATAAGAGAAGAGCCGAAGATCAACTCCAGCAGCCTGCCTCATGCCAGCCTCCAACACAAGGCTCGCAGCCTGCCTCATGCCAGCCTCCAACACAAGGCTCGCAGCCTGCCTCATGCCAGCCTCCCAACACAAGGCTCGCAGCCTGCCCCATGCCAGCCTCCAACACAAGGCTCGCAGCCTGCCTCATGCCAGCCTCCAACACAAGGCTCGCAGCCTGCCTCATGCCAGCCTCCAACACAAGGCTCGCAGCCTGCCTCATGCCAGCCTCCAACACAAGGCTCGCAGCCTGCCTCATGCCAGCCTCCAACACAAGGCTCGCAGCCTGCCTCATGCCAGCCTCCAACACAAGGCTCGCAGCCTGCCTCATGCCAGCCTCCAACACAAGGCTCGCAGCCTGCCTCATGCCAGCCTCCAACACAAGGCTCGCAGCCTGCCTCATGCCAGCCTCCAACACAAGGCTCGCAGCCTGCCTCATGCCAGCCTCCAACACAAGGCTCGCAGCCTGCCTCATGCCAGCCTCCAACACAAGGCTCGCAGCCTGCCTCATGCCAGCCTCCAACACAAGGCTCGCAGCCTGCCTCATGCCAGCCTCCAACACAAGGCTCGCAGCCTGCCTCATGCCAGCCTCCAACACAAGGCTCGCAGCCTGCCTCATGCCAGCCTCCAACACAAGGCTCGCAGCCTGCCTCATGCCAGCCTCCAACACAAGCTCGCAGCCTGCCTCATGCAAGCCTCCAACACAAGGCTCGCAGCCTGCCTCATGCCAGCCTCCAACACAAGGCTCGCAGCCTGCCTCATGCCAGCCTCCAACACAAGGCTCGCAGCCTGCCTCATGCCAGCCTCCAACACAAGGCTCGCAGCCTGCCTCATGCAAGCCTCCAACACAAGGCTCGCAGCCTGCCTCATGCCAGCCTCCAACACAAGGCTCGCAGCCTGCCTCATGCAAGCCTCCAACACAAGGCTCGCAGCCTGCCTCATGCCAGCCTCCAACACAAGGCTCGCAGCCTGCCTCATGCCAGCCTCCAACACAAGGCTCGCAGCCATGCCTCATGCAAGCCTCCAACACAAGGCTCGCAGCCTGCCTCATGCCAGCCTCCAACACAAGGCTCGCAGCCTGCCTCATGCCAGCCTCCAACACAAGGCTCGCAGCCTGCCTCATGCAAGCCTCCAACACAAGGCTCGCAGCCTGCCTCATGCCAGCCTCCAACACAAGGCTCGCAGCCTGCCTCATGCCAGCCTCCAACACAAGGCTCGCAGGCTGACACCATAAGTCCTAATACTAAAATTACGTAGACTAGATATTAAGGCTGACAAGAACAGTAAGATGTAAATATCTTATGTTTCAAGTTCATATGTACAGAAATTTACCCGGTTTCTCTGACGCCAGAGACAATATGTAGTGAGCACTCCTTTACGAAGATGCTTTGATACCGGTGAAGGGATCTTGATCCAACTAACTGGAGCTGCCCTACGTTTAATTATATCTGATTACTAACTATTCTCCAGTGACACATGACCTTAACAGGTTTAGTATTCTCTCACGAATATAATTATAATAAATGTAGTGGACTCTAAATTTTTACTCTCCTGCCACTCATAAGGTGCCTGACTACTTACCATTTCCCAGGAACTGTGTAACTCTTTCGAGTTTAGCGCTTCCCATAAATATAATTGACCGCAACAATGTTCTAAATATAACTGGCGCTTTCAATTTTTTTTAATTTATTAGGGGAAAGTGGCAAAACTATAAAGGGCATATAACCTCCTAAGGATATTAGGCAATCAGGTTTGATCCAAGGGAGGGGAAAACTACTAATTCATGGGATCAAGAACCCTTCACCAGGATAAATTACTGTATCTTCCCTGGGGGAGGGGTAGTAATATGGTTGAACGAGAGCTGGATATTCCACAGGAATATTGATAGGGCTATAAGAAGTAGTGCTGGTGTGTTGAAATGGAACAGAGGAAACATGATTACGATATACATGGTAAACGGAGAACAAAACACTTTTAAGGGGACTAATGACTCAAATGTGTCATAGGAGTATCAGAAAATACTAAAGCCTGAAGGTGGTAAATTAATGTTTAAGACATGATACGAGGATGGGTAAGGAAATGGAACGATCAGGATTAAGAAAGAGTGGAGGCAAAGTCCATGCATGTTCTTAAAGAGGAATGATGACAGGAGTCATGCAGACAGTGAAGTGACAAAGGTATACTCAGCGGAATGTAGTTTATAATCAAGATTATCTCTCGGTAATGTGACCAATCATTAGTAGTTAAGAGGTGGGACCAGGAGCAGAGATTTAGTCCATAAACCACAAAGCAGTGAGCACCAGGCTCTAGCTCAGGGCCGGTTAAGAGTAGGTAACCCCAGCAGTACAACAGACCACAGTTAATAATTATAGCCCGGGCATTTCGGTGTAACTGTGACGACGTCTTTCACCACCTGCGTTGTCTGGAAATATTCAGTCTTTGTGATGTAACGCACATCTGGGACATATTGCGTGTTAGTGATGTAATTCTGCTTGTAGATGGTAGTGGTGTAATACTGCTGGTGTGTGGCCACCGAAGGCAACACCTCGACCTGTCGGTGAAGAAACACCAAACACAGATAAGGCTTAAGAATATGACTTATCCTTGGACTTCACTGCTTGGAAAAAAAAACACATGTACTACTTATTTCTGCACAGTTACCTAACCTCTTAGCTTTTGACGATGACCCTTTCAGGTTTTGCGCTTATATTGATTATATTATTATTAGCTTCTGGCGGTTTCATTCATGATAATATATAAAGATATATAATGATATAACGTATACAGACCTAACTGATATCAGTGACATACTACCATATAGAAAATCCCTTGTTATGCAGAGCACTTCGGGCAAATTGGGTCAATTTTTCCCCCAGGATGCGACCCATACCCACACAGGGACAGCAGGTGTCTGAAGGAAACACGCCCAAATGTTTCCATCAGTACCGGGGATTGAACCACGGGCTTCAGTGAATGAGATGAGTGCGTTAACAACTGAGCTACGGGACACCTCAGGAACCAAAAAGTCTCAGGCTCTTTCTATCAAGTGTGATTTATTTGTTTGCTACTTAACTGAATACACATACACACACACACCCATGTAAATTATATGTGAAAAAGAAACACTTTCACCATCATTCACTCCATTACTCTCTTGCCAGAGGAGCGTAGATACTACACTTCAGATGTCCCTTCAAATTACAAATATCCTCACTCCTGTTTTAGAGTGCAGTCACTGTACTTTCCACCTCCAGGACTCAAATCTGGTTTCCTTGAATCCCCTCACAAAATGTTACCTTGTTCACACTTCAACAGCTCATCAGGTCCCAAAAACCATTTGCCTCCATTCCTATCGAACAAGCTCATACATGCCTGCTGGATGTTCAAGCCTCTTGCACACAAAACCTTCTTTAGCCTCTTCCTCTATCCTTTCCTAGGGAGACCCCTACCCCCGCCTAACCTTCTACTGTACAAATTACTAAATAATATATATATATATATATATATATATATATATATATATATATATATATAAAATATATATATATATATATATATATATATATATTGCAAATGATGTAGGTGAGACTAGAGTGAGGATGGGCTTAACATACCTCTGTGACGGTGAGGTACTCTGAGGGAGGCAGGATGACAGGCTTCTCCACGGTAGAGATCCTTACATCAGGTACCGTAGCCACTCGGGTCGCTGTTACTGTGTCTGTTACAACTAGCGTTCGTAACAAGGGCTCGAAGCTCACCTCAACAGTGCTCTGGTACACGTTGTTCGTTAGCACCTCCTTCACCGTCTGCAGGAGGCAGAATTTGTAGTCAGTGGTTGATAAGGAGAGTGGGAGAAGAGGTGAAATCATTGTGACAAATTGTGAGACTTGAGATATACAGGAGATAAACTGGTCAATTAACTGACAGTGAGAAAATAAGAGAAAAATGTCTAAAAATACTTTTATTAGTACAGGGAACATCACTGAGCAATACCAAGGGGAGTTTAACTTATATCTGGAGGGTGTTCTGGGGGTCATGTTCCCTGTGGAGGATATTCTGGGGGTCAACACCCCTGTGGAGAGGGTTCTGGGGGTCATCTTCCCTGTGGAGGATATTCTGGGGGTCAACATCCCTGTGGAGGGTGTTCTGGGGGTCATCTTCCCTGTGGAGGATATTCTGGGGGTCAACACCCATGTGGAGGGTGTTCTGGGTGTCATCTTCCCCGTGGAGGATATTCTGGGGGTCAACACCCCTGTGGAGGGTGTTCTGGGGGGTCAACACCCCTGTGGAGGATATTCTCGGGGTCAACACCCCTGTGGAGGGTGTTCTGGGGGTCATCTTCCCTGTGGAGGATATTCTGGGGGTCAACACCCCTGTGGAGGGTGTTCTGGGGGTCATCTTCCCTGTGGAGGATATTCTGGGGGTCAACACCCCTGTGGAGGGTGTTCTGGGGTCATCTTCCCTGTGGAGGATATTCTGGGGGTCAACACCCCTGTGGAGGATATTCTGGGCGTCAACACCCCTGTGGAGGATATTCTGGGGGTCAACACCCCTGTGGAGGATATTCTGGGGGTCAACACCCCTGTGGAGGATATTCTGGGGGTCAACACCCCTGTGGAGGATATTCTGGGGGTCAACACCGCTGTGGAGGGTGTTCTGGGGGTCAACACCCCTGTGGAGGGTGTTCTGGGGGTCAACACCCCTGTGGAGGGTGTTCTGGGGGTCAACACCCCTGTGGAGGGTATTCTGAGGGTCAACACCCTCGTGGAGGGTGATCTGGGGGTCAACATCCCTGTGGAGAGTGTTCTGGGGGTCAACACCCCTGTGGAGGGTGTTCTGGGGGTCAACACCCCTGTGGAGGGTGTTCTGGGGGTCAACACCCCTGTGGAGGGTATTCTGGGGGTCAACACCCCTGTGGAGGGTGTTCTGGGGGTCAACTTCCCTGTGGAGGGTGTTCTGGCGGTCAACACCCCTGTGGAGGGTGTTCTGGGGGTCAACACCCCTGTGGAGGGTGTTCTGGGGGTCAACACCCCTGTGGAGGGTGTTCTGGGGGTCAACACCCCTGTGGAGGGTATTCTGGGGGTCAACACCCCTGTGGAGGGTGATCTGGGGGTCAACACCCCTGTGGAGAGTGTTCTGGGGGTCAGCACCCCTGTGGAGGGTGTTCTGGGGTCAACACCCCTGTGGAGAGTGTTTTGGGGTCAACACCCCTGTGGAGGGTGTTCTGGGGGTCAACATCCCTGTGGAGGGTGTTCTGGGGGTCAACTTCTCTGTGGAGGGTGATCTGGGGGTCAACTTCCCCGTGGAGGGTGATCTGGGGGTCAACACCCCTGTGGAGAGTGTTCTGGAGGTCAACACCCCTGTGGAGGGTGTTCTGGGGGTCAACACCCCTGTGGAGGGTGTTCTGGGGGTCAACACCCCTGTGGAGGGTGTTCTGGGGGTCAACACCCCTGTGGAGGGTATTCTGAGGGTCAACACCCTCGTGGAGGGTGATCTGGGGGTCAACACCTCTGTGGAGGGTGTTCTGGGGGTCAACACCTCTGTGGAGGGTGTTCTGGGGGTCAACACCCCTGTGGAGGGTATTCTGGGGGTCAACACCCCTGTGGAGGGTGTTCTGGGGGTCAACTTCCCTGTGGAGGGTGTTCTGGGGGTCAACACCCCTGTGGAGGGTGTTCTGGGGGTCAACACCCCTGTGGAGGGTATTCTGGGGGTCAACACCCCTGTGGAGGGTGTTCTGGGGGTCAACTTCCCTGTGGAGGGTGTTCTGGGGGTCAACACCCCTGTGGAGGGTGTTCTGGGGTCAACACCCCTGTGGAGGGTGTTCTGGGGGTCAACACCCCTGTGGAGGGTATTCTGGGGGTCAACACCCCTGTGGAGTGTATTCTGGGGGTCAACACCCCTGTGGAGGGTGATCTGGGGGTCAACACCCCTGTGGAGAGTGTTCTTGGGGGTCAGCACCCCTGTGGAGGGTGTTCTGGGGGTCAACACCCCTGTGGAGAGTGTTCTGGGGGTCAACACCCCTGTGGAGGGTGTTCTGGGGGTCAACTTCCCTGTGGAGGGGTGTTCTGGGGGTCAACACCCCTGTGGAGGGTGTTCTGGGGGTCAACACCCCTGTGGAG